ACACACACACACACACACACACACACACACACACACACACACATATATATATATATGTATATAATTATCTGGCTGAGTATCCACATTGACAAGTTCTGCCTCATGAGTCTATACTGTAACTTCATAATACAATGTCCATTCGAGAGTCTGACAGGGCTGATGCCATCCGTACAACACTCAGCGAAGGTGATGATACGAACAACGTACATGAAATACACAGTGAGAGCAATACTACCACAGATCAACTCCACAGACAACAAGGGATAGGTAAAACGACATTCCGATCAAGGAATGCATATGATTCGGCGCCTACATCTGACGGAGCTTATGCTGCTGAGACAGAATTTGATACATGTGTGGATGCTGCTTTGGCATCGGCCGTGCGATCGCGTGCACGCACGATTGGCGGGGTAAGTAGTACACCGTTGTTATGTATGTATTTAATGTATTGTACTATTGATACGCTTGTAAGTAGAATATTATTACACTACAGGTGGGATTGTAGGTTGAATATTGCTTTGGAATGTTTTGCTGTATACGCGGACTTGAATCACGGAAGCTGTATATACGTTTTGGTATATGTATTACTCGCCCACGATTGGTGGGGTAAGTAATACGTCGCATATGCTGTTGAAGGTGGTAAGATACGTTGAGAGACCATCTGGCGAACGATTGTGATGCTGTCTGTGCAGCTTGTATCACACCATGAATGTGTGTTTAAGTGGTTTGGTACGTTGTGAGTCTATTTGGCTAGTGGAATGTTATTCAGTACGTTTCTTTGGTCGTATGTGTTTTCAATTGAAGGGGCAAGTGTTCAAACGTTTTGGGGTCACGACGGATCCATATGTTCTTTAATGTTCAGATATAAGTCATTTACACATACCCATAGCACAAACACTCTCACAAACACAAATACACACAAACACAAACATTCACACACGCACAAACACACGCACACACACACACACACACACACACACACACACACACACACACACACACACACGACACGACACACACACACACACACACGACACACACACAC